GTCGCCTTGGACGTCGCCTTGGACGTTTGTACCTGTGCAACGTGGCTGGTGTTCATCTTTTTGTTGTTAGGGTGAAACCTGGCGAGCCAATGTTCCGTGGCGGGAGGACTTCTGTCGTCCGTTCCATCGGCAGGCGCTTGATGGCTGGGCCCTCTGTGTGAAGGCTCATCCGAGTATTTCGACAGTCTTGCGTCGCTGCCGCAGGAAACACGACTCTTTCGGAACCGTGCCGGCCCCCAAGAATTCGAAAACTTTCTGCGAGCCGACTCCGTGGCGCCCATTTTTGGCTTGCCCTCCAGTTTGCTCAGATGACACGACGATGAGCCCGTGAGGTGTTTCGGTAGCCGAATGCTGCTGCTCTTGAGCTTGCGATCCGACCCGTCTCCAGAGATGAGCGCTTCGAAATGCTCAATTGTGTTGCTGATGCGTGGATGTTGCCATGATGTTCTTGAACTGGCCTCAAAATGGGCAGCCACACCTTCGATATGCTTCCCATTTGGCAGCCCTGCAGCCGTGATGCCTGGATAATTGAACTCGGATGCACATGTGAAGTTCATGTCGGTCGCGTCGCGACTATTGGACCGTCCGTCGTCCATCTCGGCACCGCAGCTGTTCCTGCGCGCGCTCATGGCACCCAATTCGGTGGAGCTGGTTGTGTTGGCTGTGCGAATCCCGGCAGGTCCATGATGAATCGTTTCATCCACAACAGGTGTGGAACGCCGGTTGTTGGCAGCGGAATCGTCGCCACCGAAACGTCGCGAGGGCATCAAGGGCTCAAACAACATGACGCCAGCACCAGCACCAGCACCAGCACCAGCACCAGCACGGGGGTTTTCCTGGTCTTCGCCTAGCGCCAGCTGATCGCCGCTTGTTAGGTTCATGGGTCCATGAGTCTGTGCCTGTTTGCCCTTATCAGTCGTGGGAGAAGGGATGCAGGGGCCTGGTGTAACCGTCGATGTCCAATCCTCGTCCAATCGACCACCATCCTGCATGCAGCTCTGCACACAATCCGATAGGGTATGAGGCTGCGCACCAATCTGCACGTGCGGAAGCGAAGGGCACGTCGACGACAGTGGCAGGTATCCAGCCAGCCGCTTCGACACGTTGGCTAACTTTGGACGCGATAGAACGGCTGTTTGGCTCTGGGCCATGCATGGCGATGGAGGTCGAGCGCGGAGCGTCTTCCATGTTGACAGCAAAGGCACTTGCTTGAGTGGCCGACGGGACGTGTGACGAGTATCGATAGTACGTGCATCTGTCGAGCCAGCTGTTGTCAGCGCCTCTCGCAAAAGTCCTGCAGCCCAGACTTCGAATGTCGAACGCGTCCATGGAAACACATTCTTCCAACCTACTGGGCCTGGCGGACGTACTGAGGCTGCCATCTCCAAGATTCACTTCAAAAAGCCTCCTACGTTCGGCTACTAGTGAGACACGGACCTCTGTCGTGGCAGATTCGTCGTCCTTGAGTGCTTCTCCTTGTCCCGGGAACAGGCTCGCCAACTTGTCGCTTGTCGCGTGATGATACAGAGACCGGGCCGATACGGAGGAATCGCTCGACGGCGGTCTATTGAGCTCCAGCGTAGAGTCATTGCCCCCGGGCAGATTGGCTTTCTTGGTCGGTAAGGGCTTGCTTTGGCGTGACAAACTATCCAGGATCTCAAACTTGGACACCAAATGAGACAGTTTCCTACCAGTTTCCAGTCGGCGCTTCTGTGTTGCAATCGCCGCCGTTCCTTGTATTGGCGAGTGAGCAAGGTTTGCGATGGGCTGACTGGTTGTAAGCAACGAGCGAACCGGCATTGTTCCCAATCAGGTTCTTCATGCTTTGATTCAAGGCGTTTTTTTTTGTTTCTTTCTTTTTTGTTTGCTTCTTTTTTTTTTCTTTCTTGGAAAAGGTTGGATGAATGGTTGCGAGGCTCTTATGTCGCTCACAAGGCTGTTTCAGCTGTTTGTTTATTGGCGACGGGAATACCTGCCGTATGCACAGCGCTTCGTCCGTCAGTCATGTTCGTGAGGAAGGAGACTTGGGCAAGTCTGAATGACAGGTTGTTCCAAGGTTTCCACACCCTGTCTCACTCCTTCTCCAGCAGTCCCTTTCATCCTTCGCCCATAGAGCTGGTGAGGATCCACGCAGCCTCTGCTGGAAAGCAACTGGAACGCGCGATTTTGACACAAGACAAAGAGCGTCCAATATATCTCCAAACTGAGAAGACGGGCTCAATGATTGAAGTCGGGGATTCAGGTCTCAGCCTCTAATATCCCAATGCAAAATCATTTCCTTCACGCTTTCGACTTCCAATTCCGTGTCTAGTTCGCCTTCCACATTCCGGGGGTATGTCATCAATCTAGCGTACAGTCCGTCTCATCTATTATACAGGTTTATATCAATTTGGTTGACGGATGACGATTTCCCATTGACGCACAACATGAAAGGGAAGAAACCCTTCGCTCGCTCCTCGCGCGGGCGCGCTCAAAAGTTGTTATCGTTTATTGGCTACGAAAAGACAAAAGTCAGCAGGCTCGTCGGCAAAATATTGGCATCAGGAGGAGGAGTCATGGCGCGGTCGCATACGGAGGAAGCAGCAGTTCGCCCCAGGAGCTGGCCAGAAAAGTCACAGCGGCCTAGATAGAAAGCATTAGTCTTCATTCAGGCGGGAATGCGCTGGCTGCAAGACTCACGCCGAACATGGCAATGCTTCGCACAACAGCAGCATTGTCGGGAGAGGTCAGGGCGTTGTAGGTAGCAGCAAAGTAGCCCTTGGGAGCGCGTCGGGACTTCTCGCCATGGATTCTTCTCGGGACAGCCATCTTGATAGTGTCAGAGGGTTGGCAGACAATGTAAGATGGCGATGCGCTGTGGTGACGGAGAAGGAACAAGAGATGGATGGACTAGGGTGACGAGAGTGACGAGAGTGACGAGCGTGACGACAGCTCGTTCCGAACAAGCTTCAAAAATTTCCCTGCCCAGCCCTGTCGCCGATGACAGGGACTAGCCAGGTTGACGATGGCGGGCCCACCTGCCACCACATGATTGGAGGCACATGGTTGGCACCTTGATCTTGTTCCCGTTGAGCTTCAGAGAGGAGCGGGAGTTAACGCCATCCATGTCATGTCGTCGAAAAGGAATCATCGCATTTTCAAACACCTGCTGTAGTCGCGACAATTTTCCATAGCACTCGAAATCTACCATAATAACGAGCGGCGTCGAAATGCTTCAGCCAAGCTAGATTCGGTACCAGCCTACAGTATACATCTCCAAAGCAGAGGTTCCAAATCCAATTTAAAACCAAATCCTCCCCCCACCATCACCACCATCACCGCCAGTGACCATCGCCACAGTAGTAACACGACCAAGGCCAGTAAACGCATCGACAACGACGACATCTCAGTTTCTACGTTCCATCTCGATAAAAAAGGCCTTCCAACTCATTATGAACCAAGAACCAGGCGGTTTCCTACCGCAGACCGGCCTCCCCTCCCCAGCCCCGTCCTCCACATCAAGCTACGCAGCAAGCACGCTTCCACATCCTCGCGGACATTCCCTAAGACCAGGCTCCAACAAAGAAGAACTCGTCCGGCGATACGTCGAAGACAGTCTCCTCAACACGTCCCGTCGATACGTCAAGAAGTTCGGCAACCCAAACCCCGGCGATACCGTCACCGGCTTCACGTCCATGGCAGAGGTGTGCAGGGAACTAGAGAGTGCAGTCAATGTTCTCTGGAAATCCGGAACACGTACGTGATGACACAATCCAACTTTTTTTTTTAAAAAAAAAATAATATCCTTCACCACGTGTGCTCACAGCGTTTCAGCCAGTTTGCAGATACCATTCCTGTTAAAAGTAGCAAGCGACTTCACCCGATACGTCCGCTCGTTTGCGCCCTCGCCACGCGCGACCTTTGAGCTTCTCCGCAAGCTGGACCACTGCTTTGCCAGTCTGTTATGCGGCCAGGATATTGACTCCAAGGAATCGCTGCCCGGGTTCGAGAATGGCTTACGAGCGGGGATGACGACTACGGATATGGTTCGGTGCAGAAGCCTAGTGGAGCAGACTAGGGTTCTGATGGTCGAAATCCTGAGCAGTGCCGATCCGGACGACGAGGATGACGGCGATGACGTGGAGACGGAGGAGGAGGAAGACGATGTGGAAGCGGAAGCAGAAGACAGCACTGATGTTGGTCAGGATAGCGCTGCTGAAGGGTCCAGGAGAGGCGGCTTCGCATGGGATGTTGAAGAGGAGAGGCTTCACATGGATGCGGCAAGAATCTATGAGAACACCATTATCCAGCTTGGGAAGAGGTTGGGAGACCCGCTGGGCAATGAGAACAAGGTAGACAACTCAACCGTCTGCGCAAAGTGACCAAGGGAAATTGTCAGGCGTTGTTGTTTTCACATCATGAGTATCGAAGTGTTCGAATTCATGACACAACATGACCGCAATCCGGGTCTACGACTAATGCTCACTCATTGTGCGAAAGTCGTCCAGATCAGGGTCGAGATGCGATTTTTTTTTTTTTTGTGAGCACCCAGAGGGCTCTCGGGATAGTCAACATTGGTGTGGAGTTCATTACGACCATGAGGTTGAATGAAAATCTCTGCAAGCATCCTCAAGCATATCTACCAGAGCGCTTTGATCACGAATATGCCGGCCCGCGGCAACCGTTGGCATCGGGTGTAGGGAGCAGACTAGATTTGATGTGCGCCTACTGTAGACAGCAGTGTGGAAGGCCTGCGAATTACATTTGCAACTGCAAGACTTTTGCTACTGTTTCCGAGTATTACCTCTGGCCAGGATGGTGTATATCGGTGTGTTGATCGTACCTCGCGCTGCCGATGCTCCTATTAGCTGTAGACAATTTGATAAAATGTGGTAGTTAGACACCTAATGAAGAAGATGGGGTGGGAAAAAAAAGTGCAAACGCATCCACCAAAATGAGACGGCGTACTGGACAGGTAAAATGAGATTTGAGGGGAGAAAAATTAGTGTCGAAAAAAAAAACGACAGAGACAGGATTTGAACCTGCGCGTCCGAAGACATGGCATTACGGATATTCGAGTGCCACCTATTAACCACTCTAGCACTCTGCCTGTGATTGTTGAAACACGGCGTGTTTTGATATTATATTAAGGTATTCTTACTGAGAGCATATAGCACGCTTTCCCTTTCATTTTCAAATTTCCTCCATGGCGAGTCAACCCGCACAATTGGATGCGAAACTCTGAACCCAACGTCGCCCTGCAACGTGGGAATGGTTTCTATCTTTTATGGTCATCATGCCGTGAAGCTAGACGAATGCGCTGACCGTACATTTCCAGCTCAATCTGTCAACAGCGCTGAGAACATCAGGGCCCTTGAAAAGCAGGAATTCTGGTCGGCTGAACGGAGATGTGCTGCGCATCGCAGCCCAGGACCGATACGAGCAGCACGAACCTGTACCGGAATCCGTAAAATGGACTAGACGACTGCATGGATATCTGCACTGCTACCGTCGATACTTCCGGATCCAGGATGCGCAGGGCCATGAGTCCTGGCGATGGCAATGCTGGCGTGCTCGGCCGCTTTAGAAATCACAACGTCGTCTTAGCTCGCGTGCCATTCCGCCTGGACCAGAACGAGTCGTGATGCCGATATGGCCGGCAATGCGATCCGGTAATACGTTCATACCCACGACCATACCAGTTTGCATTGAGTATACAACGGCCCAGTGCCATTCCACGACTATCTCTGGTGCGAGTGCACGATGCTGATCGAGTTTGTCTGCTATCGTCCCTATGCTGCAGAAGATATGCTTTGAATGGTTCACGCAAACCGTAAGAAGTTGACAGCGACTACGATTTGTGCAATCAAGGCTTTGTCATAGAGGAAGAGGTCTCGTGAAGGAACCGTACCTCGTACACACTATGGCGCGATCGGCTCTTTGCACCGGCTCAAGAGCAAAGCCGACACAAGACGAAAAACAGCCTGGGAATGAGCCGTGGAGTGATCTGCTTCTTTCCAGAGCCTCTCTGTGAAGTCATGAATTGTTTATTGTGCTTTTTCACCGTCGTACTTCTCCTCCCTACTTGCAGTCTGTTCTGCATCTAGCGCATGCTATCGAAAGCGGAATAGGTCTGGACAATAAACCCACTTGGACTAGCATTCAGCACAGCAAGCTTCTCGGCTGAAATAGGGCGAGTGGCATGATTTGACGAAGTGCTTGACGAGTGTAATAAGGAACAGATACGCGAAATGGTGGCTTACCCGGGGGAGATTGTATCACAGGCATCAAGCCAGTAGACGGGACGGGAAATCACAAGATACAACGAAAACGTGCTTGCTGATCAACGACGTCTGCTGCAAACTTGGGGCTAATTGGACGAGTCGTCCGGAGACATATACGACAGAGACAAGTAAAAATACCTGGCGTCTAGGCTTGTGCACTCCGTGGACTGTCTTCGCCAAAAATGCTATTTTGACCCGACGAATTGTACCGCGCTGCATATTCTGAGATTTTCGCCTACATCACAAGGACAGGAGCCGGTTGCTTCTCAATCAAGCTGCTTATTCGTTTTACCTCAAGCCGATCTAGAGGCTTGCCTGGGATGACAAAGAAGAAGACAATAGCGAAGTAATGATCTCATAAATCGGTCCGAGGATAACTTGTTAGGGATCGAGGATCACTCAACTTGTGACCGGGAGAGACATCGCCAGCCTCAGTCACCACCATCCAAAACCTTGAAACACATCGCATTAGATTACGAGAATCGAGAAGAATAGTCCTCGCGTGGACATTGCAAGTATACTTCAAAGAAAAGGCTATGGGCATCGAGAAGGCGAACGAGCTTTGAAGTCTCGAGTGTAAGGCTCGAAATATCCCTTCATCTTGCCAATTGCGCCAAAGTGCAGGTATCTTACGAGAACGTATGGATAGGAAGCTACGCATGAATCACGGGAAGCCTGGCCCGCTCGCCTTACGTGTTTGGCATTGCAGATGGGCAGCGCTTTTGAGATCCTGAAGCGGTTATACCGCAAAAGTTTGATCTGCACTACTCGTCAAATCAGGCGGGAACGTCCTTGCTGACACACTCGTGTAATTTCGAAAACATTGATATCAAGCAGCTCAAAAACCAACACGTGTCCTGTGTTAGGTATCGCTTACCACAAGGATTAGAACCATGGAAATGATCGTAGCACCAGCGACCGGAAATTTCGACTTGGAGTGACTTCTGCTTCTTCTTCTTCTTCTTCTTCTTCTTCTTCTTCTTCCTCTTTTTTCTTTTT